GAGAAGCAAGAAGATCCCAGACCAAGCCGGCAATGCTGAGGGAAGATGTCATTCTACTTCCATCTAATAACTCCACAGGATCAGCAGGAGAACAGACACGGTTATTACCAAGTCTAATTAGGCTGGCAGACAAGTGGCATTAATCATTTTTGACTGTACCTGGGATTCAAGCGCCCCTTACTCCATGATCAGAAAACTGCATGCTCTGATGAACGGGGGAAAATCAAGCCTACGTCTGACCCTTTTACTTTCATGTCTGGACAAGACAGGAAGCAAAAAGGAGAAGAACACAGGGAGGCAGCCTGGGGACCCTGAAAGCATTCCAGGCCCTCTCCTTGATCCCCAAACATAAACACTCCAATAATACTTTTCCCAAAAAGAAGATCCCACTTAGGGCCAGGGGCGGGGGAGGACTCGGGGGAGGAAGAGTGCACCATTTTTAACAACAAAACATCCATTTCAGTGTTTAGTTTTCCTAACCTCCAAGGCAAACATGGGGCTAAATCAATGAAAACACTTCAGGTCACACACTTCAGCACTGCTGGGTGTGCTGGACAAAGACCCACCAAGTGCCCAAGGAAAATCCAGGAGTCTCGGGACCACGTAAGACATTTGGCAAGTCACCTGAAATGAAAACCTTTCTCTGTTACCAAACCAAGCCAAAACCAGATGCCGTGGAATTGATGCCAACTCAAGGCAACCCCACGTGCTGCAGAGCAGAGCTGTGCACTGCAGGGTTTTCACGGCTGTGACCTTTCAAAAGCAGATTGCCGTGTCTTTCTTCTGAGGTGTCTCTCGGTGGGTTTGAACTGCCAACCTTTGGGTTAGCAACCCAGAGCTTAACCATTTGCGCTACTTCTCTGCTACAGGGAAAGTAACTCTCCCAGAAGCCTCTTCTGCAAAGAACCCCCAGCAGGGGGGGTCTGCAGGATCAAGTGGCTGTTACACAGGCCCAGAGAGGTGGGTTAAACCCAATCATTAATGCAGTGAGGAGACAGGACTGGAGAGGCCGGGAAAGGGGCCCTGTGAGATACCAGCATGCTCTCTGGGACAGCCCTGCGCTTCTCCCCATTGGCTCCATGGCAAACCTGAGTACTCACACCTCAATTAAAGCCCATCAGAGGAGAAGGTAGAGGTTTGAATGAGGAGCCTCAGGCACCCCCTTTAACCCTATGATTCCAATCACTTCACACTTCATAGCTCCAAGCAGCTTCCCTGCTGACAGACACTGACTTCAGGAGCAGACAGGAGGTGCTCACTAGCGGTGTACAAGGCACATCTAAGCACTCCCTCCATGAACATCTGAATTGGACTTAGTTTCCCCCATGGGACAGACCATTTCCTGGACAGTAGACACTTAGAACCACCGCCTGTCTGTCGGTTTGCGTACTGTGGTGGCATGCGTGCACGGAAACCTGTGAGAGCCAGAACTTGACGGACTGCCCTGTTTCTCTGGGTCTCACAACTTTCTGCCTTTGACAGGGTGGAGTCTTACCACTTTTCTATTGCTTGTTTTAGTGGAAAATATTTGCGTTTTCCTTCTCTGACAGGTTTCTGCCTTACACAGGTTCCGGCTTTTGCAGGTTTTACGGTTCTAGCCGGGTCACCCATGGTGGACAAGTTTCAGTGGAGCTTCCAGACTAAGGCAGACTAGGAAAAAAGGCCTGGCGATCTACTTCCAAAAATTAGCCAATGAAAACCCTATGGACTGCAACAGAATATGGACCAATATAGTGCTGGAAGGCGAGCCCTTTAGGCTGGAAGGCACTCAAAATACCCAATGGACTCGAGCATACCAATGATCGTGAAGATGGCACAGGGGCAGGCAACAACTCGTTCTACTGTACGTGAGGTCACCATGAGTCAGAGCTACTGGAGAGCAACTAACAAGAAGACATTTAGTGAGGGTGGAGGTATGGTCCAGGATGGCTGGCTTATCTATCCACCAAAATGGGGTGAAAGATAAAGGGTCAGCTCTATCGGCCTTCTATAGAAGAAAGGGTCCATGACCTGCAAGGGACACCGCCTTGCCAGGGGCAGCTGGTGAGTTTCTCAGGTTCTTTGCTGTTTACTATTCCCTCTTGCAACGCTGGAAATGAATTCTCACCACCAGCACCCCAAAACACACATGCACACACACACACAACCTCTCTCTCTCTCCACCGATGCACCCAGGATTTCGTTCTCTATCTGGCAAACATGATTTCTTTAATCCTGGAAATTAGTATTAACTCTGAATTCTCCTGTTGCCAGCCCAGTATTAATCAGCTATCAGCTAAAGATCCTGAAGTAGGGAGAAGCTTCTGTTAGATGAACTTGCACTAAGAAGGCAGGCAGGACAGGGGGAGGACAGCCTTCTGAAGGCCTTCCTCATTAAAAGCCCATTATGCCAACATGGCTTCCACCCAGTGTCAGCCTCCTGCTCAGACAGATGTCGTTCACATACCCACAGGCCTTCAGTTTGCTTCCAAGAGCCAGGAGATTGAATGGTATAAACAAGCCAACATTTTCCTCTACCACCATGTCTTGACACTCCGTTCTTTGCCGGCACAGATGATACAAAGACAATGAGCGATGGCTTGGTGACCCCTACGTCACAGAAGGCACAGAAGGGGCTCAGCCACTGGCACCCTGTGAGGCTGCTGCTCAGCACAGTGGCCTCTGCTGAGGAACATTTCTAGAAGACACTTAATACCTCATTCCTCAGGTGCTCACGGCACTTCCCCCCTGCCATCTTTAGCCCAGGAACCAGGCAGAGTTTGAAAACTGTACTCACTGCTGGGAAAGGTGGCATTAGGAGGTGTCACAAGCCCAGACAAGGCAATCTGCTACACACAGGAGGGGATTCCTATAATAGCATTAAATGTTTATATAGCATTTCCCAGGCACTGTTCTGAGTGCTTCACACATATTACCTCATTTAATCCTCACATTAATCTGACAAAATGGATAATACTATTACCCCCGTTTTTTAAGTAAAGAAATGGAGACACAGAGATGTCCTGGGTCACACAGATACTAAGTGGCAGAGCCAGGACTCAAACCCAGGCCATCTGGTCTTGGTCCATGCTCCTAATCACTGCCTTTTAAAAATCATATTATGACCCTTGCTTTTCCAAACAAAAACAAAACAAACCAACCCCACCTTGGAACGAGATCTTTAACTTAAGAAAGGATGCTTGGTGAGTTGATCCTGCCAGCCCTCATGTGCACACCAGAACATTTCTCAACTGTTCCTATCCAGCCACAGGTTCACAATTAGTTAAATATTAATAATCGCAAAGAGAAACTCCTCTCTGTAGCCCCTTGATCCAGCTCTACCCCCCTCTGGTGTTCAAACATCCTGAACAGGGAGCAGGGTGTTGAACTAACTCTGTGGGGGGCGTGGAAGCCCAGGACAGAGAAGAGACTCTGCCAAGTCACAACAAGTCAGAAGTACTGGGTCTGGCTGCCATTGGAACAAATGAACTACTCAAACAATGCTAACATGAAGCGAGGTTGGGGTTTGGGTTCAGGGACAATACTGCCTCTCGCCCTGTGTGGAGGCTTGGTGGACACGGTAAAGGACCCCAGGACCCTCTCTAGGGTGAAAGCTGCCAACACATCCACAGACAAGTTGCTTTTAATTCTACTGATGCTCAAGGGTGTTGACCAAGTGACAGCTGCCCTCCACCCCCAACACACACCGCTACAATTTTTGCCCTTCCCTTCTGAATTAGCACCTGATCTTGGGTTCTAGTGGTGGAAGGAGCAGCATCCACTTTCCCTCCGACCCTCCACCTCCCACTTGACCCTGGCTTCGAGTCTGGGCTCTCCTTGCCCGAAGCCTCGTCCCAGGGAGAGGAAAGAGAGGGTTTTCCTGTCGTGGAAGTAGCTCCTGCTGCCCAATGCTGCAGCTGGATGGAAGACGAGGGGCCTCTGCAGAAGGAGGCAAACCACAGCCCGTTTCAAGAGATGCTTATTAGAGGTTGTGCTATAGACTGTGCTTCAGATATTTAAAATACCTGTTTAAACAGATGCACACATGGCTGTGGATCTCCTCTGCTAAACATGGCAACAGCAAATGGGGTGGGGGAGGATGACACCCATTGAAGGCACCTAACTGTGCTGTTGTTATCTTGTGCCATGGAATCGATTCCGCCTATAGGCACGGGAAAAACAAGAAAGCCCCAATAAAACTGCCGGTTTGCTCCCAAAATCTAAATGCTGGTGCCCAGTGGTTTAAAGTGAAGCTTTGAGAAGAACCTGGCTCAGAAGGAGGCTGGAGGGGCCTGAGAGCTGGAGAAGAAGGGACCCCACAGGGAGTTGGGTAATTTTAGGGCAGGATGACTAAAGGGACCTAGGAGGAGGGAGAGGAGGAGGCAGGGCACAGTCAAACAGGAGAGCAGAGTCCAAAGGTTTGAGGGGCCAGAGGTGGAAGGCCAGGAGGGGGCACAGGTCCGGGGTGACCTCAGGCTCTCTCCAACCTCTGGGCCCATTTCCATAGAAAGCCTCAGCAGGCAGGCCATCCAGGTCTCCTGGATGCTCTGCAGGAGGGGTCTGGGCCTGTGCCACTGCGGGGCAAACAAGCCTTTTTTCCATTAACCTTAATAAGCAAAGGTCAAATGGCGTTCTCAATACTAGTCTCACAAGCCCACCCCAAGGGTCACAGAGTGAAAACCTAAAACGAAAATAAGACGGGTGCACGGGAGACCACGGAATGACCTTGCAGCCATCAACCCCGAACCTGCGGGGGGGCGGGGGGCAGGGGCGTGCACCTGTCAGGGGAGGGGCATTTGTAAAACACCGCAGAACCATCCCTGGCAGTGGGCAGTCGCTAAAGGATACTGGGCAGGCGACTCAGGAGCAGAGTGCCTCCAGGGGTTACGTCCCTTAAAGTCGAGGTCTCCTCTGGAGTCAGTCAGCGCAAGGCCGCCCCTCCCCTGTCCCAGCCCCCTCGCAGTCCCTCGCCGCGTACTGCGGTCTTCCCGCGCCCCTCCCGGCCATGCCCTAACACTCACTAGCGCAGCACAGTGCCTGCCGCAGCACCTCTCGTCCGCACAGGTCACACCAGCCGGGGCCGCCCCGCAGCGCTAATTCGGCGAAGCAGTGACCCTCGCCTCTCTCTGCCGGGACGCGGGGATCCTGCGGCTGCTGGAAGATGCTCCGCACGTCGCGGGGTCTGGGCGCCCCAGGCCGCCGCCGCAGTCTCTGCTGCCGACCAGGCCGGAGAGGGCGAGGAGGTCGGGAGGCCCGGGCTTGGGGCTCGACGTCCCCCCAGGCAACCCTCCGGGCGCCGCGCCCCTCGAGCGCCCCGGGCGCAGTGGAGACGGACGCGGGGACGCAGCGGCGCGAGGATCGGCCGTGGGGCGGCGGTTCAGGACTGCCCAGGCTCTGCAGATAGCGCGGCGGTTCGGGGTCCAAAAGTAGAGGGTACGGGCGCTGTCCGATGGCCGGGGACGCCATGGCCATGTCTGGATAGTGGCGGCGGCAGCAGCAGCGGCAGCGGCTTCTCCGGCGGCGGCACTACTCCCGAGCCAGCCCCGAGAGAAGGGGCGGCCCCAGACGTGGGCGCCTTTAAAGGGACCGCAGCCGGCAGGGCGGGACAGGGCGGAGGCGGGGAGATTTCCGAGAGGCAGGAAGGACGGCCCCAGGGAACCCGCGGACCGAAGGGTAAGGTTGGCCGGGGGGCTGGGGAGGGGGCGCCTTCGGGAAGCGGACTGGACCACTGGAGCAGCTGAGGGGCTTAGTATGGGAAAGGCTTTCTACAGTTCAACTCAGAGGAAGCAGTTCTGTAGGATCACTCTTCCCTCGCTTCCCCAACACCAGTTCCACCCCCCACCCCCCAATACCCTCAGGTGGGGACGCTAGGAGCAAGCTGAGGATGGGGGTCTAAGGGGGGAGGCGACAGTCCAGATATCAGCCTGCCGCCTTCCCCAATTTCGTGCGGACTGGTGGAATGTATTCTGTGGCTGGTCCCCCGTCCCCCTCGTCGCCGCCGCTTCGCGAGCGGAGCCGGCCTCGGCCGGGGGGGGGGCGTGCGTGGGTCGGGAATGCCCAGGCAGGCGCTTCCGCAGCAGCGCTGAGTCCCGTGATGCGGAGGGGCGCGCGCAGCGGGGACGCTTCTGATGCTATCCCGGAAAAGAGAGGCCACCTCCGCGTGGGGAAGGCTGTTGCGTACCACTTTCCCTCTGACTGCGTTTCCCCTAGCTCAGCAGTCCTGCCCTGTTGCATGTTCCGTTTTCACATAAGACAGGAATTGTGGAGACCGTGAGCTGGGAAAGTTCTTCTTCCTAAATCAAACCCTCCCCTTCTCATAGCTGTCAGAGTAATTACTGTTAGGCCACCCCCCCAAAAAAAGAGCACTACTTTGTACCTGATATCCACAGTTCACCTGCCTGCGGAGCCCAAAGAGAGTTCCCCTTTCTACCAACCGCAGGGCAGGCTTCATGGGCCCGCGTTTGGTTTAATGCTCGGATCTCCCCGACTTAATATTTGAACGAAAAACCAACAAACCAAACCAAAAAACAAACCCATTTCCCGTCGAGTCGGTTTCGACTCATAGTGACCCCGTAGGACAGAAGAGAACTGCCCCATAGGATTTCCAAGGCCGTGATCTTTACGGCTGGTGGGTTAGAACTGCTGACATTTCAGTTAGCAGCCGAGCAGAGTACTTAACCACTGCGCCACCGGGGCTCCTGTTTGAACCAAAAGCCCTGCATTTTCTTTCTGCACTGGGCCTTGCAAATTATGTAGCATGTCCTGACCAGCACCTTTGCCCTATGGAGAGAGTGTGGGAAGGACAGTACCAGCTCCATCTCATGAGTGAAAACCGGCGGCGCCAGAACTCCCAGGTCTTTGAACTGAACTCGTGTCTTCTATTACAGACCAGCGGTCGGACCCTGGACCCTCTCTAGCCTCGGTTTTCTTAACTGTAAATTGGGCCGGGGATGCGGAGACAGGTGTATGCTTTTGCCTCCTCGGCAGGTCCGACACTGAGTCAATGATCACATCTTTCCTCTTAAAACATGACTTAGTGACGGCCATCAGCAACTAACTTTTGGGAATACGTAGTCTAAATTCTTCTAGACCTGAGACGACCCTACCTCCTCTTCCCAGGCCAGAGATGGGTCTCCCCCTAGTGTCTGGTAGGGGAATCTTCACTTTTGTTTTCCTCTTGGAGGTTAATTTTTAGGTAATCCCTAAACATTCTAGAGTCCTTAGGAAGTCCCAGGAATTCCAGCCTGCTTTGGTCCTAGAGCCCTCTGCCTCTGCATTCGTAGCAGAGAACAGTCGCTGGGTCTCACCAGGAGGCACAGAATTCTCACCTCACCAAGTGGTTTCTGGGTAGATGGGAAGAGTGACCCACCGCCACCAGCCCCACAGAGCTACAAAGCAGAAGGCAGCTGAGATGGAGGGTGTGCGCCATGAACCCTCTTCATCCCTCCTCCACCTTTCCTCTCCCCTCTCAGCACCTCGCTTTCTCTACCTTGGTGGTTTTCTAACTTTGGCCTGCATCAACAATCCCCTGGCGGGCTTGTAAAATCACAGATTACTGGGCTCCACCCCCAGAGAATTCTGAGTCGATAGATCTGGGGCCAGGTTTGAGATTTGCATTTTAATAAGTTCCCGGGTGGTGCTGATGCTGCTGGTCCCAGGACCTCACTTTGAGAACCACTGCTTTAGATCTCAGATGATGATAATAGACTGGGCTTCTCAGTTCCCTTCCTCACAGGGCGGGTGAAGTTCAGGGCGACGAGACTGAGAAAACCCAAGTCGGGGGTGAAGTCGGGGGCGGGGGCACTTCCTGAATGCTTTCTGCAGAATCTGTAAAACGAAAAGTACAATCTGCCTTTGTGGTCTCTTATTCCCATTTCGCCCACTTTTTCTGCAAGCAGTTCTCTTGGGGTTGTTGCAGAAAACTGTATTTTGTATATGTATAAATGTCTGCCTGCATCCACCCTCTGTTATCCATCCATCTCCACAGGCTTGCAACTCAGTCCCTCCCAGGAGGGCAGGGGGCTAGGTTAGTCCAGAGTGTGGACCCAGCTCTGGGTGACAGCTGGGAGTGGCAAGAAGAAACAGGGATCTAGCACATTATTGGAGACCAGTTTCGAAATGCCATTTGTGAAATAGTTGACAACAATCATCATCTCCTCCCCCCTGCCCCCACCCCAGCACAATTTGTGCAGCCCAGCCCAACAGATTCCCAGAGAGCGTGGCTCCTGGGGATAAAGGTCTCTTCTTGAGCTGGGAAGCTCAGGACTGTCTGGAAGAAATCAGGCATCAAACCCTTCCCATTTCCTTAGCTGTGCAGAGAAAGCCTGGCGTTTGTTTTCCTGCTGCAGCCTTGATTTGTGGAGTGGCGGCAGCTGCTCCCAGCACTGAATGGGGGAGGAGACTTGCAGGACGAGGGCTTCTGGGATGGGAACAGAGATGAAAACGGAGATAGCATAACTTCATGTAATCAATCCAAAAAGTTTATCAAGTTTATCTTAAGGTTCATCTCCTGGAGCCAAGAAATTGAGGTCGGGGGAGGTAGTAGCCTCCCCACAACCTCAACAGCAGGCTTCTCAACTGGGACTTGGCTCCTCTGATACCATCTCTCCCAGCCCCCAGCCCCCTTCTTCCCTGAGGCAGCATCCCCTCTCTGCGCACGCACACAGAAGAACTAAATAGACCTTAGTGTCATTGTAGAGTCAGGCCATTGCCTGGGGTAGTGTCTGATGCCTGGACTTGGAAATATTTTGAATTGGTCTTTGGCCATCCAAGCCACAAGGCTAAGACCTCAGCGTTGGCTGAGATACCTCCACTGCGAGTTTTTCCTCTGTGTTGACAGATCCCCTTGGCTCAGAGCCATTGAGTTTTTGCTGTCTGTGACTCACTCCCAGCAGAGTGGGTATGCTGCTTTTATTTTCCCAAGGGGAAGGACGACGACAGGGAGTTTTGAGTGTGGACAGTGTGTGAGGTTACTACAGAGTGCCCCAGAGCATGTTGGTTTCCCCATTGGTGAGTTGTTTCAAGAGCTGTTCCCAACTCCGCAGTGAGCTCCCTAGTAAGAAGGAAAAGGGAAGGACTGAATGTGGCCTAACTCTTGCAGGGGAAGTTTTGGGTTTTGTTTGGCCTTGAAGCATTTGAAGTTGCCTGAAATCCCCGAAGCTTTGAGGGAATTCCCAGTGGTTCTGAGAGCTGTTCAACTGCCTCATGGGATCGCTGTATCAGTCAGGACAGGACAGGTTACGCTGCAGTAATAAGTGCCCCTCAAAGCCATGTGCCTTTGAACAACAGAGACTTTGTTCTCATTCTCACTCCATGTCCTTTGCAGCTTGGCCGGGGGCCTCTGCTCATCAGTCCCTCAGGAACCCAAGTCTGATGTTGCCAGTCACTGTGCCAGAGGGAAATTGAGAGACCCTGGAGGCCCTGGGTGGCACAAACAGTTAAGTGCTGGGCCACTAACCAAAAGGTTGGAACCCACCCAGAGATGCCGCAGAAAAAAGGCCCAGCAATCTGCTTCCAAATGGTCACGACCATGAAAACCCCATGGAGCACAATTCTACTCTGCAACACATGGGGTCACTATGAGTCAGAATTGACAGCAACTGGTTTGACTTGGTTGGAGGATCCCATGTCAGCATTTGAACGCTTCAGTAACTTCTGCTTACAACTCACTGGCCAGAACTGCTTACATGGCCCCGCTCTGCACAAGGGAAGCAAGATGTGCAAACCTACCATGTGCTCAGAATGGGACAAGAACTGGAAATATTTGTCAGATAGCACCAACGACCACTGCAATCTTCAAGGGCACACAGCAGCTGTTCATTCATTCCACAATCAATTCTCAGTATCCACTATGTACCAGGCACTGTTCTAGGCACTGAAGGTACAACAGTGAATGGACGTGTTCATGACACTATGTTTTAGTGGAAGAGTCAGACAATAAATGTGTAATAATGACATCAGGTCATGATAAGGACTATCATGAAAAACGAAGCACATTAGAAGGACAAAAAGTGACCAGGGCTACTATATTAGATCAGGTGTCTGAAAAGAACTCTGTGAGGAGTAGACGTTTAAGCAGAGACCTGAATGGCGTGTGAGGGAGTGAGCCCTTGGTCTAGCTGAAGGAAGAGGGACCCAGGCTGAGGGACAAGCAGCCCCCAAACCTTCCAAGGAGTTTGTTCAAAAGGCACATCCCCAGGCTCCAGCCCTAGAGATTCTGGAGAGTCTGGCTATTGGCCTGTATTTTATGAGCGTTTGATGAATGTGACTCACAGACCACACTTGGAGAATGCTGGCATAGGGGCCAAGGCAGTGGGTAGTTGGAATCGTGTGGCCTTATCCACAGGCATGTGAGAAAACGTGCTCATGCCCGTGTGAACTGCAGGACCACAGCTCTCCAGCCCCCTTCCTTCCTTCGTGGGCAGCGCGCTGTATGCAGAGCCCAGCCTCCCAAAGAGGGGAGCGCTGCTTGCCGAGTGCAGCGGGGGCCGGTCATACCTTGTACTGCTAGGCTGGAGCAGAGGGTGGGACAAAAAGTTGCTGGGGAATTAAAATGTTTGTGAAAGGCCCTGGTAAAATGCCACATGTTATACATATTTACTCAAGTAACACGCATCAAAAACCTACTATGTGGCAGGCACTGCAGGCTTGAATGACTTCATCCTCCCGGCAGTTCTTTGTGATGGCTAGCATTCCTATTTTACGGATGAGAAAATTGAGGCTCAGAGAAGTCATGTGACTTGCCCAAGCAAGTGTCACAGTCTGGACTCAAACCCATGTCATGATTTTGCACAGCTGGTGTGGAAAAAGGGCAGTGTTTAAAATTCTCTGATCTGGCTTTGTAGGTGCAGTTTGAAGAATCAGCAAAAGCTTTCCCCTTTCTTCTCTCCCTGTCAAAACCCTGCTCAACTGTCAAGGTCTAGTCCATATGCCACGTCCTCCGTAAAGCCTTCCCAGAGTTGCCCAGATATGATTCATCCCTGCTTCTTCCAGGCTCCCCCAAGTTGCTTGTGTCTCTATTAACATTCATAGTACATTTGCCGGCCTCACTTGGGTCTTGGTCTTTCTGATCCCACAGTGCCGGGTAAATAGGAAGTGCTTTTTAAATGTTTAATAACATGAACTCAGCTGCAGGCCTCCAACCTGCCCCTAACCCAGGACCTATCTCTTCCAGCCACAGCCCTTGCCCCCAGGGAGGGGGAGATGAAGGACTTGTTTGGTGTAGGGAGTATGGAAGGTGCCCAAACTCTCCTGGGGCTGGGTAGAAGTGGGGGCAGTGCTGGGTGTCCACTTAAGACTTGTACATCCTCCATGGATGCTGGTCACTAGGGTGGGCTTCCTGCCTCCACGTGCTACTTACTGGCCAGGAGTTAGGGCGGGTAGAGAACCATCCCCACTGCCACTGGTTTGGGCTTGCTATGTGTCACCAAACTCCACTGCTTCCAAGGGAATCCCTGAGGTCCTCAGGGACCAGAAGGGCAAACCAGGGCGGGTATGTGAGCAGGGACATGAGGGCTCCCAGAACCTTGTCACCATGTTAGGGTAGGGGTGGGTGGGGCTTGTTTTCCAGTGCTTTAGTGGTGTCTGCTCCATCCTTGCCTCAATTATGTCATTTTTCCTTCCCAAGCTGCTCCGCCAAGCTTATGATAAGGCTGGTTGGTGTGTGTGTGTAGTTTCTTCTTTCCATGCTGGAAAAACTCAGATATTCCAGGCAGATTTGTCAGCAGCTTTTTTCCCCTCAGCCAGCAGGGAGGCTCCAAGCCACAGCCGCTTACATTCCAGCACTAAGCCAGCTCTGGGCCCGTGGGTGTGGCCGGAATCCATACAGTGGAGTTGTGACAGACCAGGGAGAGCAGTGGCCTGGATGACCTCACGGGCTATCCCTGCCCCTAACCCACACAAACATTCACACACGCATATGCACGCACCCACTCGTGCGTGCGCGCCCGCCCACCCACCCGCACCCGCACCCGCACCCGCACCCGCACACACACACGCGCGCGCGCGCGCGCACGCGCACACCTCTCTCTCTGTGTCTCTGTGTTGTTGCTATCATTTCTGCACTCTCTCCCATGCTCTCATCCGCTCTCTCTCTTCCCCTCTCCTTCTCTATCTCCCCCTCCTCCCTCCCTCCTTGGCGAGGGGTGCAGAGAAAGGACCCACATTGCTCCAAGTGGCAGTAATTCTGAGCTTCCAGGGAAAGCAAACTGCAGCTGGCTCAGGTCATCCTGGCCCGTTCCTTAACACCTCCCGCTGGGGTTGCCTGATTAAGAATCCTCTGTGAGATGGAGGGAAAAGAAGCCAGAAAAAAATTGAAGCAGTTTGGAAGTGAACCCAGAATGAGTGGTGGCAGCAATCTTTCGAGGCTTCCCAGGCTGACGTGAGGCCATCTGTGAAAGTAACTGGTGAGCGCAGCAGAGGGTAGCCAGGCCATTGTGAAGGTCTACCGTTTCCTCCCATCCTGAGACTGACTTCCTTGGCCTCAGCTGTTGGGGGTGCCTGGCCCAGTGTACCACCCACTACTGATCAGCCTCTGCTGGGCCAGTTACATCGGGAAACTCCAGCTCAGCGTTCTCAACCCTTTTAGCTTAAGAAGCACCAGGCAAGCTCATCAGCAATGCAGATTCCGGGGCCACACCCTTCCCAACTGGATTCAGCAGGTGTGCGGGGTCCCAGGACACTAGTCCGCAAAGAGAAAACTGAAAGAAGGGGACACTAGGTCTGCAGCCCCAGGCGTGGAGAGAGGCACCTTGGCTCTTGATCCTGCCATGCTGGGTCCCAGGCCCTCTGGAGCCGACTGTCCTTCCAGGCTGGAGAGCTGGGACATGTCCCCATATCCTTCCAGTTAAGCCCCCTTTAACTTAAGGCAGCGTAACGACACTGTTTTTAGAGGATGCTCACCAGAATCTGAAAGGACTCCCAGATATTTGTGACTGAGGCTGTCTGAGATAGGAAGTCTGCATCTCCTCTGCACCCCCTCACCCTGCCCCTGCACAGGGACCTCATAGCCAAGGGAGGCAGAGCTCGAGGGGGTGTGCAGAGAACACTATGTTTCAGGCACCTTATGGAAATATCTAATCTGTTCCCTAACTATGAAAGCTATCATCTCGTTCTACAAACGAGGAAACTGAGGCACAGAGTGTTGCAGTCCACCCCCCGCACAGGCGCGGAAGAGTGATTCCTTTAAAGCCCAGGTTGGCCTTGACTTGAAGCCTGGCTGTGGTTCCCTGAGGCAAAGCCCGGGATCCTTGCTGTGGGCCTGCGAGGACCTTTTGGGTCTGGCTCCTCCGTCTCTTCAACCCTGACTTCTCACTTCATTTTGTTGTTGGGTGCCGTCGAGTCCGTGTCTGACTCACAGCGACCCCATGTGACAGAGCAGAACTGCCCCATAGAGTTTTCTTGGCTGTAATCTTTACAGAAACAGATTGACAGGCCTTTTCTTCCATGGAGAGGCTGTGTGGGTTCAAACTGCCAACCTTTCGGTTATCAACCAAGCACTTAATCATTTACTCCCCAGTAACTCAGAAATAAGGGCAGTGGTGGTTCAGTAATAAAATTCTTGCTTTCCATGCAGGAGACCCAGGTTCGATTCCCCACCGGTGCACCTCAAGCATAGCCACCACCTTTCTATCAGTGGAGGCTTGCATGTTCCTCCAATGCTGGAGAGGTTTTCAGCAGAGCTTCCAGACTAAGGTGAACTAGAAGAAAGGCCTGGTGATCTGTTTCTGACCATCAGCCAGTTAAAACCTACAGATCACAAAGGTCCGATCCTGTTGTGCATGGGGTCACCGTGAGCTGGGGGTCGACTCGAGGGCAGCTAGCAACACCACCACGGAAATACTCACGGCCCCTCCCATGCCTGCGCTCAAGCTGTGCCCGCCTTCAGGGACATCTCTCACGCCTTCTCTGCAAGGCCAGCTTCTACTCACCTGCCAAGACTCCACTCCAAGTCACCTGCTTCGTCCTTCCCTAACACTTCCCAGACGACCTGGGCACCCTCCCCTATGATGAGTGACTCGATAGTACTCTTCAGCTGGGCCTTCTTCTCATAGCACTTACCTGGGATATCGACATGCCTGCTTTCCCCTAGAGGTGAGCTCCTCAGGAGGGGGCAGTGTGCCTTCGTCACCTCTGTAGTTTCAGTGCCTGGCACCAGGCCTGGCACACGGGAGGTGCTCAGTTCATGGGTGTCAACTGAGCTGGCTCTTCATTTTCAGTGTTATGCTAGCACAGGGCTATGTAATGACAGGAGACAGGGAGGGACCTTTAAGAGGTTTTCAGACACGTGAGGATCTTACAAGGTCCTGCTGTTCATGAACTAGGTCCAGTTCCACACCCCCTACAGGATGGAATCAGCAGCTCTGCAGAACCTCAGATGGGGTGGCACCCATGTCAGGGGCTCTGCCCAGCATAGAAAGACCTGAAGCCTTTGAGCATGTCCCTACTGGACTTGGCTCCCGAGCTCATAGAGCCTGGGTCATGTCATCCCCTGGGATCCGCATTTGGCTTTCAGGGATCCCCTGGCTCTTTCCCTGAGCCCCACCAAGCACATGGTGTTCAGATGAGCCAGGAAAATCCACCGTAGGGCTTCCCTGAAGGGTCACTGTAGAGCCAGGGTGCCGGCCTGAGCTTCGTGCAGGCGGAGCAGGCCAGAGGTGGCCCAAGGCACCAAGGCAGCAGCCCCCTAGGGCCCCAGACCCTGAACCCATGGGCTTGAGTGACCATGAGCTTAAGGCTCACATTGCAACATGAAGCCACCTAGTTCTGAAGCAAGCAAATGGCCCCCAGCAATCCTGCCCTGGGTCTTTAGAGGTCCCCAGTCTTTTTCTAGAGAAGTAGAGGCACTGGAGAAGCATGTGGGCTGTCAGACCCCAGGACCCACCCTTCCTCACTCCTGGCCTGGCTACTGCTGGGCAGCGTAGCCTTGTGAGGATGTGGAGGCTCAGGGAAGATGGTCAAGCATAATGTTGTCTTCATGCTTCAGAGCACACAGGAGCCTTCTCACTCACCCCCTCCCCTCCTGGGACTGCTTCAGTACCCCGCCCCCACCCCTCAGGCTAGGTGGGTAGTCCAGCTCTGGTTGGAAGGAAGTCTGCAAGTACTGCAAAGGAAAGGTTGAGTTTGCAACAATGCCTTACCCAGACACCATTTTAGCTTCCAGGCAAAATGAGGGGATGCTTAAAATAACCCATAGCAGTACTCAGACACACTGTTTAGGATACAACCTGGGTTTTGAACAGTGGTGGGGGGTGGGGCAAAGGATCAGGCACTTAGATTGTGGGTCTGAAGTTTAAAAAAAAGACACCGTTTTTCTCCCCAAGCCCAGGCCCCTTATATAGCTCCCCAAATGGCAGGGGGTCCAGAGGAGAGAGAAAGGGAAGGCAAGCCCTCCCAGCAGGAAGCCGTCCTCCTTGCATCTTCCCCCAGGTTAGGGCCCCTGTAGGGGAAAGGCAGGCTTCTGGAGATAACCAGTCCGCCTCCACCCCCAACACTTATCCACACAGATCCCCACCCAGGCCCTGCACAGTGTCCATGCCTGCCCAGCTTAGCGCCTCCCCTGCCTCCCAGACACGGCCCTGTGAGAGCCACGCAGAAATGGAAAAGGCCACGTTTATTCCACGTCTTGAAGGCACAGGCCGTCTAGCTCCTTCGGGCTCTGGACTTACAGGCCTGGCTGCCTATGCTGACTGCACGGCCCAGGACCTGGAGATGCCTTGGTGAGAGGGGACAGGGAGGCGCTGGCGCTCCAGGCTCAGCCAGACCAACAGTCGGAGGAAAACAGGTTCTGTGCTGCCTGCGGCTAGAAGTGGTGACCCTCTGAAATCACCGGATGAGCAGAGGACTGCATTCAGTGTGAAACACTTTCGGAGGAGGGAAGACAGATTAGGATAGGCTGTCTGACCCAGCACCCCGGGGGAAGCCCGCAAGGCCTCCTCGCTGTTCCCTGAGGAATGGAGCTCTGTAAACCAGGGGGATGGCAGGGCCTATGCGGCTCCTCTCCCCACAGCTGGGCCAGGTTCAGCTGTAAGGCCAGGGTGACGGAGGAGCCTTGATAAGACACAAAGGCCAGCCCAGGCAGTGGCTGCTGCACTCCTGAACATCCAGAGCTTCCTTCCAGTGGGTCCTGAAAGACGTGGCCTGGGGCGCCGGCCCTGGCGGTGCTGCTTCCCCGGGCAAAGGCAGTGGAAGGTAATGCTGGAGACTTCTCCGGGCAACAGCCAGGAGGGAGGTAGGCTGAGGCGATGGGGCCAGATCTCGCTCTGTGCTGGGTCCCACAGTGCAGGAGGGCAGTGTTTGAGTAACAGTAATGCTTCAGGATGCCACGTGCACACTGCAGGGCTCAGACATCAGGAGCCGAGGGGACCCTACTTAACCTGTAAGGAGAAGCACAGGTCAGCTTCTCCCATCCAGGCGGAGAAGCCTGCAGACCACACCCCAGGGCCCAGCACAATCAGCTCTCAGGGGTGCGGAGCCCTGAGCCACTCAAGACCTCACCTCTCCTCTGTCTCTTCTTCATGTCCAGACAGGAACCCACTGGTTCTCTCCCGACTCTGCATTAGAGCCACCTGGGCGCTTATAAAGGCCCCAAACCCAGGCTGCACCCAGACACTCTGAAGGCAAGACCCAGGCATCTGTGTTGTTTAAAGCTCCCCTGGTGATCCCAGTGGGCAGCCAGGAAGGAAGGAATCACAGTCCCTTCATTTGGCTCTTTGACTGCAGCTCTGGTTAAGGAAGTGAAAATTCACTAAAATAAAGTTTTGAACTATCTGTAAATAGATTAAATATCACAGCAAGAAAAAATTTATGTTAGCACTAAAATTGGAACTTCCTGCGCATGAAGACTGTTTTTAGAAAGTCTTTCCAAGAAGCTGTTAAATTTCCTCTTTTGGGGAATTTAAGGAGGGAGTCTTATCTTGCTGGAATGGACCCTCGGAAACTTCGAGGACAGATGACAAGCACTCTCCTGGGTCCAAACCTCGTGGCCCTAATCCTGGTGTGTGGGACAGGCATGAACTCTGGGGAGCCACTGACATCAGTGAGTGCTTCCCTCGGTCCCCAGACACCTTGATGTCTCATCGCATTTAATCCCTGTGCTAACACCATGACATAGGTATTGTTGTGCAATAGGGAACTGAAGCTCAGAGCTGAACAAATCTCCCAGGGTCACGGGGTTTGTAAGGAGCAGAGTCAGGATGCAAATCCTGCTGGAATCTCTTTCCACCAGGCCACTGGCTCCCAGATGCTGGCCCCGACCAGGGCCCGTGAAAGGGGATATGACAGACATAGATGATGGGGAGAACGTAGGAGGTGCCTATGTGTGTGTGCACACCTATATGTATAACAAAGTAAATAAATAAATAAACCAAACCCATTGCCATGGAGTTGATTCTGATTTATGGTGACCCCATGTGTGTCAGAGTAGAACTGTGCTCCATAGGGGTTTTTTTTGGAAAGTAGATTGCCAGGCCTTTCTTCCAACCTTTAGGTTATCAGCTGAGTGTTAACCATTTGCACCACCCAGGAACCCTGTGCATATGTGTGCATTAATATGGACAAGTGGTTGACCCGCATGGCAATGTCCTTCCTAGTCTTTGGTGTTAAGATGGACTCTATGCAATGGGACTAGTGGATGACAGGGAGTTTCCCTTTCTACGTGCTTGCTCAGTGACACGAGCAGTGGACCACTCTATGGCATGTTCTCCAGTTTTCTGAATTTTACTGCTGCACAAAATCCACAAGTCTGAGTCCCACTGCGCTCCACACAGCACCCTCTCCACGGCCCTCACTCTAGGAGGCTTCGAGTGGGCTCATGGTCCAGAGCCTAACCCTGGCTCCCTGAGCACAGCACAAGGACCTGGTGCCAGTGAGGGTGGAGAAACCCGGGCCTTGGGCAACCAACCCAACATTTCTGAGCTGTGATTCCCTGGCGTGCGAAATAGAGGTGAAGGGGCACCCACTCTGAGGATAGCTAGAGAGACTACCAGAGGTGGCCTGGTGAGGGGTTTTTAGCATCAGGCACAGCATAAACATTATACACGGAACCAGACAGAGGCAGGAATGCGTGTACCTCCACGCCGCCCGTCTCTCTGACTGCATAGGGCACGTGTTTTAGACTATAAGTGAAAGCCCACATTTTAGACTATAAGTGAAGGCCCGCGTTTTAGACCATAAGTTAAGGCCCACGTTCCAGACTGTAAGTGAAGGCCCGCGTTCCAGACTGTGAGTGAAGGCCCATGTTCCAGACTGTAAGTGAAAGCCCATGTTCCACGCTGTAAGTCAAGGCCCATGTTCTAGACTATAAGCCCATGTTCTAGACTATAAGCGAAGGCCCACGTTCCAGACTATAAGTGAAGGCTCACGTTCCAGACTATGAGTGAAGGCCCGCGTTCCAGACTGTGAGTGAAGGCCCGTGTTCCAGACTGTGAGTGAAGGCCCATGTTCCAGACTATAAGTGAAGGCCCATGTTCTAGACTATAAGCCCATGTTCTAGACTATAAGCCCACGTTCCAGACTGTGAGTGAGGGCCCGCGTTCCAGGCTGTGAGTGAAGGCCCATGTTCCACGCTGTGAGTCAAGACCCATGTTCCAGACTATAAGTGAAGGCCCATGTTCTAGACTATAAGCAAAGGCCCACGTTCCAGACTGTAAGTGAAGGCCCACGTTCCAGACTATAAGTG